GTTATTTTAATCGATATAAAACTCAATAGTTAACGTATGAAAAATATATTTGAGATTTTATTGTTTCTTTTTTTTTATATCGGTCAAGTTTCTGGCATTGTATTGCATAGAAATCATTTGCAATTAACCTTGATGCAATGTTTGTTAGATTCGGGACGAGAGACGTCGATGATTTTTATTCCCTATCGTGTATCAAATTAATGGTTACACTAATGAGTTCTATACTAATTAAAATTACCGGTGCTATAAACAACAGCGCCGTATACATAATTTGAATAGCCGTGCCTATTCATGCTCGTGCCACCTGACCTCCTTTTACATTTCAACAAGGCCTCACAACACTAGCGATGGTAGTTGTTAATTAAATGCTGCTTCGAAGAGGAACACGAAACCGAAATGTTCCCAACGTTGAATCACTATTTTTGTGAAACGTTCGCGAATCATGGTGTACATTATTAATTTCTAAATTTAATACAAAAATAAAATAAATTCTGAATTATCGTTCTCCGTCTGTGTAAATAATAGTAACAATAAGTCTTTGTTGCATAGAGGATTACAATAAAATTGAAATAAATTAGCGGGAGGGATTCAGTCATAAATTGTTATTAAATTTATTCCAATATTATCAATTAAATTAGTGACTACTGAATATGTAACGATACGTACCGATACCGAGACTTATTAATTAAAATCGACGGTAATTATTTTATCCATCGACCCAGCTGTGAATCGATACACTCGAGCCCAGAAGAGCCAGCCCCTAATATCCTTATTTAAAATTTCAAACGGGAAGATCATTGTCCCGAGTCGCTTGAGAGAATTTCTATAAATGCATCGTCGAGATAAGTGGAATTCGCCGTATTTTATTTTCTTTGTATCAATTAGCGTCGTTAGTTTGTGAACAAATTGAAAAATAAAAATATATTTTGCGTGGAAAGCTTCCTCGTATCTCTAGTGGTACTTAAGATAGTCTCGAACGAGTAGAACTTGGAAGGGTAGTTTCACCCCTTAAACTTGACTTATGGCAGCTTCCGAGGATACTGTCTTTTACTCTTACTCTAGAAACTAGGAAACTTTTAAAAAAAAAAAGCCAACTTTTTGTACGTTTTGCAGATGTTCCAGTAAGAATTATATTACGTTACAGCGAACCCTCGTATATCACGGCGTTTCCATTTTAATATCTTTATAATTTAAGTTCAATTGTAGTTTTAATTTAGTCACCGTTTTAGCAATTTTCAATCCTGACATTTTTTTTCGAAATGCGTCGGAAGAAAGATATTTATTTCGTTGTTAATTCGAAACTGGCTACGTTTTCGCGCGATTTTACCAACGAGAACCATCGAAGGCTCGATTTATGCCAGCGGTCGGACCCCCATGAATTAACCTCGCGACTGGACAGGGTCGAACGAATTGGCCCGGGCAATTTGCAGAGCGAGGCCTCCGAGAACGAAGGGCCAAGAACGCCTGAAACTGCTGGCCATAAATCGGACGGTCGAAGGCACCGCGATACGCGGAGTCGATTTCTACGCTCCCAAAGGGATCCTTGAACGTTCCGTCGGAATACATTACTCGCTTCCGGGCCAGGGAATCCGGAAGTCGACTGTCACCGCGGCCCGTTCGCATATTTCACGCCCGATCGGAACCACCGACCGTCGCTAGAATACCAACGAAAGCCTCGCAACTTGGACCAACCTTACGCAAACGTTTGCAAATCGACGCCAATATTTCCTCTGCCCTCGCCACCCCCCCCCCTTCCCCCGCACTTTTCGGTGCTTTTCAAAATCCGGCGAATTTGTCAGCGAGAAAAACTCCATTTTTAATCGAAAGATCGATCGAGGCATTTATTGAATATGTGGCGTCGCCTCCCATGTTCGCCTATACATATAACAAGTCCGAGAGCAAGTAACCGAGGGATCGGTCGAGCGCTTGTGAGAGCGCGACCCCTCTGGTGACGAGCATGGGAGACGACTCCACTAAATAAAATTGGGAGTGCTGACGGGTGTATGTGAAAAATAAAACAGTACAAATATGAGATGATTCAGTCACGCTTTATTAAAATGAAGCACTTAAGATGCAGTTGCGTTACGTATTTTTAACGAAAATACTTGGCCATCGATGCGCATGCACGTCAGTTATGAGCAGATGCCCAGTTTCGATGTTGTGCGTATCTCTGTTTGAGTGCACAAAGCGTGCGTGACAGGTGCTGCCATTGAACGTTGTGCTGAGCCAAATCTCAATCGTTTCTTAGACACTATTCTGTTGAAGTCCGGGTTGAAGAAATTAGTACGCGGGTGAAATATGAATATACATATATATTTCAAGCGAACAATGGCGGATATTAAAACGAGCCTGACAGTCAGACAGTCAAGAATGTAATGCTGCTTTTTGCATACTTTCTAAATCTTATGTACGAAAACTAAAGAAAGGAAAAAGGGGCATGGTATGACGAACTTTAGGTGAACTCTACCCTTGTTGACAAAATGAACAAGGGTTTGTCATCTAGGCGACTAAGAGGCGATGTGCCAGAATACATTGATAAGGAGGTTGGTCATCCAACAATTCTCTCGACAGGATTTATTTTATTTTAAAATATCAATTATAAACAATTAAATGAATCAGTGTCTTCGAAACTATGCCTAATTTTAACATTCGATAATAATTAAAACGCTCGAGAGTAAAGGCTGAAGAAACATCGTCGCGAAACAACAATTTTAACCCTTTTTTTGAAGTCGTAATAATCCAGAATCGTCTGGATGGAGTAAAAATCGTTTTCAGGCGACGATCGAAGGAAAGCCCAATTTCCCGTCGATTCGTCCGCACAAAAGCCGATCTTGGCACAAAAGCGTCTCGAGGTTGGTATTGTTGTCAGCCCTGGAGGCCCTCTAATGATTCTGGATCACTGTCGGTCGATGATATTGGTTGTCTAACGACCAGGAGACGGCGGTTCCCACGTCGCTCGCGATCCCCCATCAGTCTACATCATTTTCCGGGGGATGTGTATCGCCAGAAACGTCGTTGCGGCGCCGTGGAACTGGCAAGTTTCTGCCTCGTTAATTATGGCAGCCTGGCGCTCGTCTTATCGCGAATTGGAGGCGATGGACGATAGACGGGCCGTAATTAGCGCGGCGTCAATTAAGACACGGGTTGCGTGCTCGTGAAAATTTCATTCCTCCGGGGTGGTGAAGAGGTTAGGTCTGGGTTTATGGGTCGTCCTGAAACCGCGCCAAGGCGATTCTTTTCCCGACGCAAATTGGGTCGAAAATTTCGAGTTGGCCCCGGTCGGAAGGAAATCGAGATTTCTGGGACACCGGGAATTCTGGGTTACCACCACCCTTAGGGTATTTTTCGAACCTTAGAGGAAAGCTAGAAAAGATCCGTTTAAAACCAGAACCGAGGGAACTCCTTACCCCCACTTCGACGTTTCACGGTCCCCCACCACTTCTAGTGATCTAATAATGTTCTTTCGGTTTAGCTAGTCTCACTTTGATGGCACCATTGGGCATTGTGTATTTACGTGTCTGGAAGACATTTAACATGGCGGTCGAGGAGTGTACATGTAGCGTCAGCGCCTTTTGAAAAAGTAACGCACGTGGCGTGACCGACTTATCTAACGGCGTAGGCCTTTTCTTTGGAATCCTTTATCGCGAGGAGACGGAAATATAAACGTGTCATCGAGGTTAGGTTCGACAACGGCCCAAGTGGCGCTACGATAAGCCTTGTCCGTAATATGTAGTACGCATTGCTTGTATTTTGAAAGTTTCCAATCCTCCAATCCGTTCAAAAGTTATGATGTTTTAAATATACCCATGAAATTTCAGGGGAATATTTCTAACCTCAATTTATGTTTTCAGTAAAGAACTTTTTTCTCGAAAGTGAGTAAGATTTCGGGGATATGTGTATTGACCAAAAATGATTGCAATTAACCCGTGCAACTAAAAATAATTTTTTTAGAACGATTTGAAATTTTTTAATTATGTCGAATTTGTCCACCTTCTATTATAGTTATTCGGATAACCGGGTGCCGGATAATCCGAACAGTACTGTATACTAGTTTTCTTGATTTCCCGATAAACTGTTCCTGGCATATAATGCGATACAGAGGTCGACATTCGTACGTTCTGTACTATGTATGGGAATAGGTGGTCGCTTGAGCGCTTGTGAGAGAGAAAGGTGAACGTAACCCTCTGTCAGCGAGTCCAGGAGGGTCTCTTTAGTGTATACATATAGTGTAGATAATATTTTTAGTAATTGGTAGACGACAATGAGTTATACAGTTACATTGGTCATTATTGGGTGCGGTGAAATTCCTAAAATTAATTCAAATTTATAAACGTTCGCGATTTTAATTTCGTTCGGTCTTCGTTTTTTTTTCGAATCAACGGAAGAAAATTGCGGTCCCCCTCCTAGCGGGCGCGCAATTACCGGAGCAATTTTGCAAACTAGGGGAAAAAAGGGCGGAGAAAGAGCTCGAGAGAAGGTGGAATTCGCGTCCAATCGGACGGGCGACGTTCCCGGGGTGAAAACGGAACGTTAATAATCGCACTTCGTTCCCGTGGGGTCTCTGACAGAGGGGGGAAGGAATCCTCCCGCGCGAGCGATATTTTCATCCCTCTTGATACTCGAAGCTATCTCGGATCGGAAGTAAACCGAGCCCGAGGGCTTGTAAACGAGCACGAACAGGGAACCGCGGAGCGTGGACGAACGTCTGTTCGCCGAACGCTCGACGAACGTGCAAGCAACGGACGAGAATCGAAAAATGATTCGCTGTCGATATGTTTATGTCCTATTGACACTCTTCTTGTAGCGACTTGAAACGCTATTTCTCGCGAGATTTCATCCACCAGTTCTCCAGTTCAGTCTGCGGAGCTTTAACGCGTTCACTGTCAAAAGCATGGCGCTATGACCCATATACAGGTCATAGACAGTAAACGTGTTAAGAAAAAATTTATATTCCTTTTCAAGATGGCGACCCTCTAACCTGTTTGGTTCGTTTGTTACAGAGAGCGTTCTATGTTCCTGCGTGTATTCCTGATCGAAGTAGACCCTACGAGTGATCCCGGACATTCGAGGTTGTTTCTCGAGCGTATCGATAGCGCGAGCCGGCGAACGACCAAGGACCAAGCACAAGGAAAGTGTCCTCGACTGGAGGAGAGCGCAAGTACTCGGTATGAAGGGTGAGTCCTTTGAAAGTTCGCTTGCATGCTGTTGAAACTATCCCCGGAATCGATGACCAACCCTCTCGATTCACTTTTTCCGGGACTACCCTAACGAATCCACCCCAAAGCGAATTATTTTCTAAATTCAATCTCTGGGAACCTTTGGACTTTTTTTTTTTAATTATTGAATCTATTAATCTCAGAGAAATAGTTTTTCTAAGCTAGTTTTTTGTATTTTGAAGCGCAAAAAATTCCCTTTGGAAAAATATTTTTAGTATTTTAACTTTGCAAATTACGGTGACAGGAATATTTGACGATAAATTGCTCGTAAAGTATTTGTTAAAATGGTGTATTTTTAAATATACCATTCTATCCACTTTAATATTTAATCCGCTTTCGGAACCGAAAGATTTTAAGCCGAAACACTGAAAATTCGATTCGTTTAGCGTGGAATTTAATTTATTCGGTGTACGATCGAGCCACGTTAAATTTCTGAAAGAGAAATGAACCGTGGAACGCGCGAAACAAAAGCAAAATATTCCCTGTTCGTTACTTTTTTTTTTTTTTTAACCAAGCACCAACGTATTTTAATTTGTTAGTGAATATGTATCGATGACGGCATGGTTAAGACAACGACATAACGCAGCGTGTCGATTGTCGCTTGTCTTGCATTGTGTCCGGTGTGCGAGTCGAGTCGCATCCATGCGTTGGTGTTATGTTCTTGCATTATTATACGTATCAAGTAATACAGATACTACTTTACAAACCCACTTGAATTTTGCCGCGTAACTTGTCGGTAATAGAGACCACATAAGACAATTGTAAGAAAACCGAGTCGGGATTAAGAGGAGAAACACGTGCACGAAGATAAGTGAGAATTCGAGACAGGAAAGTTATTAATTAGTATAAGAAGGAAAGATCGGGAAGAATAAGCTGTAAATGCCGTTTCTCTATTTATAGGTAAGGGATCTGTAAATAATGTAAATAATGTAAAGAAACTTTAATTATTGCTTAATAAATATCATCTCTATTTATAGTGAAACCCAGTTTGGTTTATTCACCCACAACACATTATACAGGGTGTTCGGCCACCCCTGGGAAAAATTTTAATGGGAAATTTTACAGGCAAAAATAAGACGAAAATCAAGAATACCAATTTGTTGATGGAAGCTTCGTTAAAAAATTATTAACAATTAAATTCAAAAACTTCAAATCGGTCTGGAAAAATTATTTTCGGTTGCGGGGGTCAATTACAATCATTTTTGGTGAATAGACATACCCCCGAAATCTTGCGCATTTTCAAGAAAAAAATTCAGTACGGGCGGAACTTTAAACGTTAATAACTTTTTAACAAAGCCTCCATCAAGAAATTGGTATTCTTGATTTTCGTCTTATTTTGGCCTCTAGAATCCCCTATTAAAATTTTTCCCAGGGGTGGCCGAACACCCTGTATACGTGTATAAATACATATACATAGCTATTCTTATTCTATGAGTGTGTTAGTGGTTGCATAATGTATTAACATCCCGAGCTAGAAGCAATCTGACACAATTTAATCACACGACGTTACATTACTCAAATTAAAAAAAAAAAACAAAAAATTCAATTATTTTTAAAAAAACATTGTTGTCGAACGTAAGATCTTTTGGATAAAATTCGAGAGTCCAAGTTCTTTGAAATATTACGATTCGATTTAAAGGAAAACAATGGCTCTCTTAAATTTCTCTACTCTATTTCGGGGGAATAAAGTTGATGAAAGGACCGGATTACCCTCGGGCTAGACTTTGTGTATCCGTGTCTTATATGGTATCGCTAGCACAGGACCTTCGGGGTTACGAGTTCAGCATTCTTGACCTACAGCTACTCTTGATATTGGAAATCACTTGTATTCTAACATAGTCAAAAATACGCAAGACCTCAGGAAATTTGATTTCCATACGAAAGTGCTTCGGGAGAAATTGGACTCTTTCTTCCGGACTTGTCGTGGGCAAAATTGAGGAATTAAATTTAAAATTCAAATTTAATTCGAAACGTTTCCACTATAGCAGCCATCTTCGTCGTAACGGAATAAAAAAAATATTTACGATGTAGAAAACCGAGAATAAATTCGAAACTAAATTATTTCCTCTAAAAATGTTAGTGTAAATAGGTACTGTATATTAGAATATAAAGGGTGTTCTGCCACCCCAGGGAAAAATTTTAATGGGAGATTCTAGAGGCCAAAATAAGACGAAAATCAAGAATACCAATTTGTTGATGGAGGCTTTGTTAAAAGTTATTAACAATTAAATTAAAAAATTTGTCAATTACAATCATTTTTGGTAAATACACGTATTCGAGGAAAAAAATCGGGTAAGTGCTGAAATTTTTCGGCAATAAAAAATTTTTCAAATCGTTCTGGAAAAATTATTTTCGATTGCGGGGGTTAATTACAATAATTTTTGGTGAATAGACACACCCCTGAAATCTTGCGCATTTTCAAGAAAAAAATTCAGGACGGGCGGAACTTTATACGCCAATAACTTTTTTACGAAGCCTCCATCAACAAATTGGTATTCTTGATTTTCACCTTATTTTGGCCTCTAAAACTCCCCATTAAAATTTTTCCCAGGGGTGGCCGTACACCCCTGTATACTACAGTAATAGTAAGAAACATCACGGACAAAACAATTCCGCCTTTTCTGTTCGTTTCGAAGAGGCAAACTAGATCGTTGAAAAGATGTTTGACGAAAACTGGTGAAACGAGCGAAACTCTCTGGTAAAGTCACCTTGAAGCGACCAGTATCTCGCGACAGCAATCTCCAAGACGCTGATCCACCTTTTATTAAAAACTCCCATCGACCCTTTATCTCCTCCAACCGGTGGACGCGTTATTTTTTAATCGGTCGACCCAGATAGCGAGAAACGAAAATCTGTGTCCAATCTATCCAAACGCGGAAGCTCGTTCGGTTAACTGTAATGAAATATTTCCGCCATAACGGTTATCTTCCGCGACGTTCGGGCGTCCGATTCGTTTCCATTTCAATTCTCGCCCCGAAACGACCCACTTTTCGACAACTTTCGAACTTACGAAAAGTAGCGAAGGTGTTGATACGATTTATTCAACAGGACGCAGAGGGTGTCCAGTAACCGTGTAAATAAATTGAAAATATGAAACGGTTTCAAGAAAATTGATATCGATAATTCGCGAAGCGAAATACAACGTGTCTAACGCGTCGGACCGATACTCGTTATTTCCACTCGCCTTCGGTGTTTTTAAATGTTACCGTCGTATATTATAGTATTATTTATTTTTCATCGATGGCTTTTCAAGTAATTGGAACCAGTTTGGTAAATAAATAATACCGTTTCCACGTGGAAGCTTTAAAAGTTTCGATCCAGTAGAAATAACCAGTAATGGTCAGACGCTTTAATCGTATCGAATTCCAAACGAATTATCGAAGTTACATTTGTACGGGAGTCTGTTTTGTGCTTAATAAACAATTAACGTACAGTAAATATTCTATAAAAATACTTACACTTGACGTGAAGTATTAAAAAAAAAAATAAAAAACCGAATCGAATAAAATTTGCTTTTTGCAACATTTTTATTTTGTGCACCGTAGCGCATAAGTAAATATTCTATAAAATATTTAAACTTGACATGAAATGTTTAAAAATAAAAAATAAAAAATTCCCATTTGAACTCTTTTGTGGGTGAAAAATCGAATCGAATGGAATTTGTTCGGTGCAATATTTTTATTTTAAAATTTATTTTTATAAGTAAATATTCTGTGAAACACCTACACTTGACGCGAAGCATTGAAAAACAAAAAATTTGTATTTGTAGGATTTTGGGGGACAAAAATTGATTCGAGTGTTGCGATATTTTTCGTTTGGGCACCGCTGTGCCCGAAGGAGCAGTCGCGGGCTTATCGCGAGCTTCGGGGCAGCGGAGGGGCGTCGCGAGTATTCTCATTTCCCGAGGCTTGCACACCGACCCGCCCACGCGTGCACGGACGGCCGACGCGTAATGTATGCGGTGACGCGAAATACGGTCGCACGATCCGCATGAATTTTCAAATTCCACCGACGCGGCGTTCCGTAGTCGCACGCGTTCTATTTCGCGCAGAATAGCGAGCTCGCGCGAATTACTCTGATACCCCCGTACGCTATTATAGCGGGACTTCCATTATCCTTTGTTTATCACAAAATTCCATATACTCCATACACTGTATTTTCGGGAATGGAAGACCCGTGTTGTAGTACAATTTCCCAGATATAACCCATCGAACTTTTACTATTGTAAAAATGCGTCGAAACTCGCGAAACGCAATATACAGTCGGGGACAAAAGTAAATGGACAGAATAGTACTATTGTCGTACAAACTAACTTTATTCATTACGTATGGTAAGTACGTAGATTATTTGATAAAGAATTGAGAGAAATATTTTCATTTTTGTGCAGCCGAACTTTTTTTAATTACTGCTAATATAATCTTTAAAATTCGCACCATATTGCAAACGTCACAAATATGGCGGACGTGTCTCGAACCACTGCGTAACCAAGACGACAATTAAAACGATTCCAACCTACTCTGAAGCTCGGATGATTTATTTTTATTTTATTTAGACAAATTAACTTGCAAACATATTAAGAGATTCAATTTTTTCAAAGAGAAACAATAGCGGCTGACTAAACTGTTCGATCCAATGTCGCCCGGCTGTTTCTATCCATCGGAGCCTTTCTTCTATCCAGTAAACCGATCCCTCTATTTCGAACGTAAACAGGCGACAAGCACCGCTATCTGACGCTTCTCTGGGAAACATAGACTGCGAGTATCGCGAGAAGACGTGTCGGGTTTCATCGCGTCTCGACCAGTCTGAATCGAAAGAGTCTTCCAGCGTGGAATAATTGGAAAGGAACGGTAGCGAAAATGTGGAACGAGCCGGTTGATGGTTGCGTGCAAGCAATCTGCGTGGTAGGCCGATCTGGGTCGCTGAAATCACTGGAAACGTAATTCCAGGATACGCGTTCG